TAATTATAATAATAACAATTATAATGAAAAATGATTAATAATTATAACAACAAGAACTAACGTGTTTTGAGAAAATGGTTTTTAACTTTTTCCGTGCTTTAGTTCTTTTGGTTTTAAAGTATTTTTCATTAAGATATGATTGTATTAACATATGCAATGCCAGCTTCTGGTTTATGATATGACGACGCTTGCTATGTACATGTTACATATGTACACTTGGCGGTCTATCCACCTTACCGGTTGTCCTGAATAGCTAACCAGTTATTACCAGTTACTACCGGTTACAAATCCTACATGATTTCTGATTTAGCTGTGAAAGACCAATATGATTAGTTGTCACGAAGAAATAACGCCTCGTCCGAAGACAGAACCAGCGTCCCTTGGATTCGTTATCCTATATTTTCTCTATCGTGACAAGCGGACACATTATCAGAGTCGGTATCACAAACAAAACATAATTATTATATAGATACATACGAAAACAAGCACGCTTTATTTTATCTTTCTTTCAATGAATATTGTATCTATACAACGGTACCTTTTAGTCTTTTGAGGTTAAAGTGTTGACCATTCCATCAAAGAAACGTGACATTCAAGATCAGATACTACATAAATTTATTTAGAGATAATAAAATGTTCTAGAAAAAATATCACTATTCGTCATATAAATGCTCATACCAAATCACTTTAGAACTTTATCAACTTTTTTTTAAGCGATATTTAAAAAAAAATACACAAATGATACATTAATTTGATACATTTCTATTGTTTTATCGATATTTGAAATACTTATGAAAAACTTGCTTTTTAAAGAACACGTCTTTAAAACCATTTGCTTCATATGCATTTATTTGGTAGTGAATCATCTAGTACATGTCTGGTAACATGTGTTACTTTTATGACAAACTCACAATTGTACAACATCAGATAATGACAATTGTCTTCTCTCACAGGTATCTTATAAAACATCTTTATTCATTTGTTGTCCATTTTTCTAAACTTCTGTTGTGTTATAATGAGATGCAGAACTGATAGCAACAATAACATATTACATCGTGACGTGTAAAAGTATATACATGAACATATATTAATTATATCTGTATATTACGTTTACCTTTTGTTTTCACTTTTTGGTATAAACACAAAGCCTTAATGTACATGAGTCTTTTACAATATACATGAACCTTTATTGGTTATTGCCTCAAATCACTTTCATCTCATTTTAGAACTATAATTACTAATATCCTTTAACATTTCCAGGTTTGGATTTGTTTACACATTAAACAACACTGTAGTGTCAATTAAATTGGTTAGATAACTGTGAAGGTTGGAAAAAAACTGTGCTATGAACGTTTTGTTATATAACAATTCATTTTATATAAATATCTACAAACAAAACGCCAAAAAATAACACGTGGTAATTTTCAGCGATAAACCCGATATGGCATTGAAGACCCCTAAATTTGAGAATATCAACTGAAAAAAATAAAGACTTACTGGAATATATTTTAAATGTCGGCCAATTGAAAGAATCTTTGTTTTTGTTTTGGCCTGAACTTGTAAATCTTGCCGTCATAGCTAGGCAAGTAGATTTTGTACTAGTCATTATAAAAGAATAAAGACAATTTACGTATACGTGTATTTTCTGCTACAGAAAAAAAAATGTGCTGTAATATTTTATAATTCCTGTGAATTAATCGTGTATATTTTACAATATTTTATTGCATGCTACCACTAAAATGATGATGGAAAATGTACAAATCATGTCCTCAGCAGATGTCAAAATAAAGAGTTTTGGATTTGCATTGTTAGCTTTATGGCCACAAAGTTTTCAATTGAAACAATGGCTTGAAAATCTTATCTTCAAAGGAAAATTGCCATCGCAACACATGTTTCATAAAGTCTTTTGTACGCACACGATGTGATAAGCTTCTGAATTAAACATATTGCTTGATAAGTAGATTTTTGCTTTTGAAACGTTGCAGGATGATGCAAGACGAACAGTATATAATCAATACAAACCAACAGACTACCAGCATAGGCAATTCGGACGACCATTCAGTGAAAATGTGAGTAAAATTTGTTTTACTGTTTTATTTCAAATTAATACAAAAACATTTAGTTTTATCGTTGTTTTTTTTTTCAAACACAGTAACTTAGACGTTCATTATATTATTCATCTGATAAGTTAAAAAATCTGTGTTCTAAGTGTGAATTTAATTATTTAATTTTCCTTCCTTTTTATCAAAAGAAACAGTTTTTATATATTAAATCTCATTCTAACAGCAAGCACATTTAAAACAACTTTGTTTTACTGATAGATACTAAGACAAACATATTTATTTTCATCAAAATGAAAAGAATCTAAGTATATTCAATCTAAACCAAGATGCGTTTGGTTTGGAACATATTAGTCCATTTTCCAAAGTACGAATATTTTGTGATATCTTGTTTTTTAATTTTGTTTTAAAAACTTGTCGTGTAGATATTAATCATCAATGTATTTTCAGATAACATAAAATAGTTAAACTGTAATTATTTGTCTGATACGCTTCTTTTGCGGTCATTAAAATATTATAGTCATGGTAGCAAATTCAATTTTCATTTGTACTTCGCAGCAATATAAGCCATGTTAGATTTACTTGAACTGCTTCTTTTTTGAAATATGCCATTTGTGTGTTTCTGTTTTCTCTTTAGATATTATTAATATTTCTACATAAAGATTTCGTCAATTACGAATGACATTAAAAAAAAACTGCTCTCTGACTATCTTTGGTAAGGTTTAGGGTAATCAATGTCATCAGAACGACATTTTTACTTAGAAATAGAAAAAATTATATTTTGCCCATTTACCACTGTTGACTGGACAATTGACTAATTATTACATAAATGATCAAGGAAAACATGCTACTGTAATAGTTAAATATTAGCATTTTTTTGAACTTTTGAGTTGCATAATATACTATAATCTTTGCAATTTCAGAAGAAGATATTTGATTTCACTCTTGTCTTTCGGGAATATTGTCAATCTGTAAAGCATGGGGGAAGTTGATATTTTCTACATTGGTATAACATAGTTTATTGTATTTTTTTTTTCGTTTTTTATCCTCCTTAATTAAAGGTTGGGTAATTTCTATACTGTTGTGAGTTAAACACATAAACAGATCTTGTATTATTTCTTGTATGATATTTCAATATGGCATTCGGAATAAAAGATGTTGCTATTAAATAAATCATCTGAATAGTATAAATAAAGTTATTGCCGCTTATACACGTAATGTAGAGATAATTGACACTAATACACGTACAATAGATTAAATTTACAATTGTACAAGTAGAATAGATATATATTGCCTCTAATACAACAAGTAAATAGACATAATTGCCACTAATACAAGGAAAATATATAAAATACCACTCATACAAGTATAACAAATGTAAAAAAAAAAAAAAGCGTAACAAAACTTATGGAATGCAAAACATCAAAAAACTTTTATGATTTTAATATTTCAGGTAGGTTCGACGATTTATGGTTGTTCTGAAACAACACTGTCAAATGCAGGTAAAATATCAACTTGAAAAATACATTAATACGAGTACTAATATTTCAACTTTGCAATCCTTTAAATGTTTTACACATTAAATGTAAGAAGTTCTTTACGCACTATAAAAAACAAAATTTTTTTTCTTGTGAAGAAAACTATGCAAATAAATATATATTCTGACATAAATGGTAAAAAAAATTGTAAAAGTTTTATGATTACTTATAATTTACTTCAGCTCTCGTTAATGTTGCCCTTGGAAAACCTGCCAGTCAGACAAGTATTTATAATAATAATCAATTGACTGCTGACAAAGGGAATGATGGTGATGCTGATGGTAACCATTGTTTCCATACTGCTTACAATATAAATCCCTGGTGGGAAGTCGATCTTCAAGATGTATATTACATAAGTCAAGTTAACATCACCAACAGGAAGGACTCTTCAAGTATGTAGCTCTCTTCGTTTTACTATATATTTACTATTATACTTTAATATTATATATGCTTTATTTTAACGTTATTATTAAAATTCATGGAAAAAAAATTTGAAAACAAGCTATTCTTAGCCTCATTGAGTTGCAATTTTATAATTACTTATTTTACAACATTGGCAATAGACCATGTTTCTTTAAAACACTGCTTTAGTTTAAAAAATGTCTACATAAGAAATCACTTGAATAGGAGCAATTTTTAAGGAACCCAAGAACGAACCGATAATGCACGCGTTTTTCTTACGAGGTTATATTCTTAATTTTGTTCTAATTAAAAGAAATACAGTTCAATATGTAAAAAAGCAGAATCCGTTAAACTATGTTTGTTCCTCATTTCGTTTACATATTCATTATCACATATTCAGCCATAACTCACAAATCTATTTATTGAGTTGTGTGCAGGTAAATATGTTTTTAATTTCATTTAAGCTTCCAGAGCACAGAATGTTGAAATCTCCGTAGCAAAGAGAAAAGTCCTGGTAATTGGAAGATGTTAGCCTATAAGGAAGGTCAAATGGGGTCTTTTCGTGTCTTTCACATTTGTTCCAGTGAAAGCTCGTTACGTCAGAGTAACTTTAAGGGAACATACAAAACATATTTTCATTTATGTGAAGTAGAAGTCTTTGGACAAAGTAAGGCATACCTTTTTCAACATAACGAGTTCAGTAAATGTTAGGTCTTTATTGTGTATCTGTTATTATCTAACTCCAATATATCGCCATTCTCTGTGTGGTATTTAAAATAGTATCAAGTATTATGACCTAACAGCAAGAAATCATGTAATATAAATAATTGTTTTATGTAAGCGAAAAAGATTTTTATTATTGAAACATATTTAATTTGACTAACCTACATTTTCGGAATATTTCATTTATTTTTCTCAGAGTGATCAAAATTATATTTTATTGTTGTTGAATTAACGTTATCACTTAAAGTCATCTTTATTAAGGAGTGCCTGCCGATGATTGTTGATGTTAAGCCATGTTTGAACGGCGGCGTGTGTACAAATGGGAATAGTAACTACGTATGTACATGTGCCCGCTGGATTTTATGGAAAGAACTGTGAACAAAGTAAGCATTACCCCTGTTAACTTACTTGACTGCTTTTTTTACTTTATTCAATTATATGAACACATGAATTTTCTTTGTAACTCACAATATCGTTTTACTTTACACAATACAATGTATGACCATAAACGTTATGTTCATTCCATTATCTTGTAAAAATATTTTCTGCATTATCAATTGTTAACTAATTATAAAAATCAAATTACAGAAGTAAATGAGCGACTATTTGCTTCTTCATGTTTCAATCACACATCTAGCAATTCTGTGTATGTCTTTCGAACAACAATGATAAAAATGTTGTTATTATAGACAGTTTGCATTGCGTTTGCACTGCTCTCAGGTATTGAAATAGAATGGTGTGAATTTGGCATATATGTTCGAACATTGTATTTATTTTATTGTTTTCGTTTTGCAAAATCCACTATAAAATGCTGTATAAGAACGTTTTTTTAAGTACGTTCAAATTTACCAAAAAGAAGTCTTTTTCTTTTGTAACTTTCGTGCATAAGGAATATGCTCATTTCGTAAAGTATGTTGTACACTCTACTCTCTGATTTGATCTGAATAGTAATGAATATTTAAGTAGTAAATACTAGCAAATTGCTAGCTGAGAAAAAGATTATATCTCTTCCTCACCAACACATAGTGAATAGACTTCTTACTATTAAAACTTTAAAACGTGATTTTCTTAAGTTTTAGGGAAAAAAGTAAGCACAAAATATATTCTTTAATAAAGGTTAATATTATAAAGGTTAATGATTAATTAAAAAGGATTTTTGTTTCAGCTTTCGTTAATCTTGCCCTTGGAAAACCAGCCAGTCAGACAACTGTTTATTCTTTAAATAATCAATGAGTGCTAACAAAGGGAATGATGGTAATGCTGATAGTACAATATCTCACAACAGTTGTTTCCATACTAATAACAACACAAGTCCCTGGTGGGAAGTAGATCTTCAGGATGAATATGCCATAAGTCAAGTTAACATCACAAACAGTGACACTGGCTGTATGTTTTCTTTATTCTTTTTATTAATACAACTGTTTACTATATTAAATGGTATATATATGGGTGTTAATTTCATAGAGGCAACTTATAATTTAACTTTTGAAAAAGGCTATTAGAAGTATCATAGATCCGTAAAAAACCTACTTATTTAAATTCATATTTTATATTTACTTCTCGTATAATGATGCCGTATTTTTTTTAATTATTGTTTGGGTTCAAACAGATGTCTTCATAATAAATTATTTCGGTTCAGGTAATGGATTTGCCATAGGCTCGTGAAAACTTTGACGTACATTCTTAAGATTTGTGACCATCCGAATACACTTTCAAAAAACATCGAAAAAAAGAAACGAAGGCAGTTTGTCACAAATTTGTTTTTGTAGTTAATGTCGATGTAGAAAATAATTGTTATTTTAGCTAAAAGAGCACAAAACGTTGAAATCTCCGTAGCAAGGGAAAATCCTGGTAATTGGAATATGGTGGCGTATAAGGAAGGCGAATTGGGTCTTTTCATGTCTTTCAAGTTTGATCCAGTAAAAGCTCGTTATGTCAGGATAACTTTACGGAACATACAAACAATATTTCATCTGTGTGAAGTGGAGGTTTATGGATACAAATAGTAAGATATTTCATATAGATTATCCTAAATTTATTTTAAAAGTCAAAATTCAATCTAGCAATATGTAATAATAAAGTAAAACCAAATTCGTCTTTTCGGCACTTTTCGTTATGCTTCGGAGAAGTATACATGAATAATCGTTAAGATATTCCGAATGTTTAGACGATAAAAAGGTTGAAAGCTGACATTCCTTTTTTAGGTTCTTTGAAGTTGGATTAAAACTTGGATACATATGCTATTTGACTTGTATATGCTACTTAAATTGTACAAGTACACGTACATGTAACTTTATGCTCAAGTTTTCATACTTCAATATGTCGTTGTTTCCTTTTTCTTATGTGATAACCGAAATGCTTGCCTATTTTTTAAGTGCTATCATATTCATTATTATTTATTACAGATTGAAATACAAAAATGACAAAAACGAACGACAGCAAGAAAGGGAGAAGAAAAAAAGAATGAGAAGAAAACAAATATAAAATGATAATTTTCTTGCAAGTCTTATTTTAATCGGATGCTACCTTTTAATTTAACAATTAATTTTAATTGAAAATAAAAGTGAAAAGAATTATTGGCGACGCCGGTGAGCGGCGTCGTCTTTTATGGAATACTTTTTATTTTGGCCTATGGAAGGAGCTGTTATTATTAGCAGTTAATTTCATGTTGTGTTAATTATATTTATTTTGATTCGTAAAAATCAAGTAAACAAATATGTTGTTATATTTGTATTTAATAACTTTATATAAAAAGCATGTGCATTGTGATATTATTTTCACGAAATTGCAGGCTCAGATTAACAGCTTGTCCCTTTGTTTTATTGACAATATTAAAACCCGGATTTCGAATATCGTTGTGGTCTACATTGATGCTCATTCATTTATATATTTTCAAAACTTTCCTACAAGAAGAAAGTTCACCTGCAAATGAGTATTAGGATAGGTAATGGACTGTTGTAAACGATTATCCTTTTGATTTTATCCATATTACGTTTATCTGTTGAACAGAATGGTTGTTTTTTACAAAGTGTACCAGTATCCGGATGTTGACAGCTATCCGATTTTCTGCAATTACTGCTGTCACATGGCCATCTACTTTTTTTATGAATACTTTACCATTAATTTGCATGGCATAATTAAAATGAGCCTGCAACATTTATTAATTTTGATGTTTCGGGTGTTCTTTTGGGTTTCATGTTTTCTTTATTTCAAGGGGAAAGTAACTCATGTTTACTAAATTATTTGTTCTTTTTCTGTCTATCTTAGGTATTGATTACAATTTTTTGTTTTATAAAATTTACCAGTTGTAAGGTCATCAAAAGCATAGAGGCCCTGATGAGTGAATATTGATATATATATATACTTTTACTGGCTTTATATACCCAATATTTCATATTTATTTAATAGAAACTTGGAATTATTAATGTTATGTGCATACATTTATATCTTAGTATATGGTATGATGAGACTTATAATATTTCTGAATTTAAAGAGTTGCAGTTATGTCATTATTATTAAAGAGATGAGACTTTCATTTAAAGTTATAAATGATAATACATGTATTGATTGAAAATGTCCTGAAACTTGGATCAAGCAATATAATTGATAAAGCCTCAAAAAATCATGTTCTGAATAGTTATTCTAATTTTTTTCTAACATGTGCATAGTTTGAAAAGGACAGCTTCTGCCTTATCTATTTGTAATGGAGGGACACCGGTCTCAATCTCCAGGTCTCCTGAGTCAACCCGACAACAGACTTTTCATAGAGTAGATTGATACTTGTCCTTGAATAAATTTGTACACTAAATTTTATAGTGGGTGATTTGTGCCACATGAAAAGTACAAAAAGTAACCGGGCGCCAGATGAAAACATGAAAATACAATCTACCACAAAGTGGTTCGTTTGTTGCATTTTCATGTTTTTGCCCGGTGCCCTTGATGTAAAATACAAATCAGCCTTCATAAAATTTCTTATCATAGATTTTGTACATGTATTAGCACAGTTATATTCTCTTTCAAATTGAACCTGTTATAAATAATGGCACAACCAATAACTGTCTTAGCCCTTTTTAGTAAAAATAATTATAGCACAATAATAATTATATAAATTGTTATTTTAATTAAGACTATGAGTATGTAAGGTTTTTTTTTCTTATTTATTAATTAAGAATTAATTATCTGTTAATTTTAAAAATCTAAATATCTGTCACGGTTAGAACTGTTCACTATTTAGGGGAGAAAATGTGTAAGCGACCAGATAGCTCAATCGCTACAGCCGCGGTACATTATTCTGTGGGTACAGGTTTGAGTTCTGGTCAAGCTGAAAGTTTTTCTCATCCTGTTACTGCAAATAACCATGAGTTTAATTCACTATGCTCTGTAAACATCAGAAATTCAAGTACATGAATCAATATAGTGGGGAAAAAGGTTTAGGTTTAGAACTGTTTCATTATTAAAGAGAAAATGTGTAGCCGGCCGGATAGCTCAGTTGGTCTTCTGAAAGTCATGGGTTCGAGTCATGATCAGGCAGTTTCAGTCAGGGTTTAGAAGTGGTTTTTCAACTGACACATGTTTGATTCATTTAATAGATTGCATTTAATTTGAAATGGACAAAGGCAGTTAAAATTGCTTGATACTTTTAAATCTACAAAAAGCATTTGGTACAGTTGATCACACTAAACTGCACATGAAGAAGTTCTTTTTTCTTCTTCTTCATCTCTTCAAGCATCTGTCATATGTAATGACATTCTTGCATGGTTCAAGTCTTATCTATGATAGCAGCTGGTGAATGTGGCTGGTACTCCTTCTCTCTGAATACCTATGGTGTCCCCCTGATGTTCATTTTAGGTCCTCTTTTATGTATGACATGTCTGCAACCCTAAGCAATAAGCTTTTATTATATGCACAGGCACAAGTATCAGACCTGGGAAGAAAAAATATTACCAGATTGATAAAAAAACCTGTGTTCATCTTAAAAGTGTCACAAACCAAAAAAAATGTAAATGATGACCCCCTTTAAAAATATACTTTAAGTTAATAGTATATTTTTAAAGGGGGTCATTATTTACATTTTTTTTGGTTTTTGACACTTTTAAGATGAACACAGATTTTTTATTAATCTGGTCATATTTTTTCTTCCCAGGTGTGATACTTGTGCCTGTCATTATATGATGATGACTCAGGTATCCTTGTATCTGGTAAAGTAAATCTTAAGATTGGTTTATTGACTATAAATTGTCTTTGCATCTTGGCAAGACAGAGTCTATTCTTTTTGGTTTAAGTTTCAACATAAACTGGGCTAAGCCTCCAGGTCACATGAAATGGTACTGCTATAAAGTACACATCTTTTGTTAAGTATTTAGGTGCATCCTGGATCAAATTCTTTTGGCGTCGCCCTTTGATGCTTTGCATCAATGCTTTTCTTGTCTATTGTTGTATTTATTGTTATAAAATATAATAAATAAACTCGTGAAAAATGAAGGTATAAAACTAAAAACACGAAACTAACACGCAACGGTCTGTAACATACTAGGTTAATTTATAAATCAAATATCAAACGAAAATTCATTTCGTCTCCTGTCCGATTATTTTTATAACACTATTTGCATTACCTATTTATTTATTATTTTGTTTTAAATAAGACAAGAAAAGCATTGATGCAAAGCATCAAAGGGCGTCCAAGCAAGAAATGCAGCAGGTGCAGATAAACTAGTAGATATATGATGATAAACTGTCCAATGGTTCATTGGTTTTTACCAGAATTGTATATCACTTATGAATGAACGAACGAAAGACATTGTTCATTATTTATAAATTTGATTGGCATGCTAGAAATTAGAATATTACTTGTTATTTCTTTATGATCGTGATTATCAATAGCAACGGATATACATGTATACAATCATTTATAATCCATATGAGTAACGCATGATCAACACCACACTTGTGTAATTGTCCCTTTAATATTATGTTATCGCTATTAGCGAAGACCCCCTCTTAAGGTATGTGTTCACACTTAGTAACAATATGACACTTGTTATATTACCATGTTTAGCATAAATGTTTATTATACACTAATTGTAATATCTTTTTTAATAAAAAAAAATACAGATTTTATGAATATTGTTTTCTTTTCTTTTTTGTGTTTTATGCGCTATTTTAATACTGAGTTTTTACGTTTACTATTATTTTAAGAATTCAATTGTCATAATGACCGACGATTATAAGTCGAGACTTAACTGGAAAAAGTCAGTAAATTATGGTTAATTTTTCAATATATAATATTGTTTATTCTTAAACCATATACATGTACATTTGTATTTTTCTTTATCATTTCTTAAATTATCAATCAATTGAATAATTCATAAAATCTGATTTGTAACTTTGAATAATTCCTCGGCATCTTTACTAAACACGAATAACAAATTAAATAAAATGTTTCAAAGTTGATAGTGTCATATTAATGCCATAAAAATGTACATTTTTCTCAATTATTGTTCATATTTATTGTTTTTATCTCATATAGATAAAATAAAACATGCGATTTGTGTTGTTGGTTTTTTTTTTCGAATTGTATGTTTATGTATAATAATAAGCAATAATTTTGAGAGTTGATCTGTGTTTATTAATTATTGTAACCAAACTAAGTGACAAACATTCATTTTGAAAAAAAATCTTATTTATCTGTAAAATATTTGTTCTGTTCTGTAACGATATCAAACATCTACTCCAAAACCGGGAGAGACCGGACAATAAACGTGTGGTACTATTCGCCGGTCGTCAAAATAGACCAGGAGAGACCGGGAATTACCGACAGGAGTACATCCCTCTATAAATAGATTTTCGGAATATTTAGGTCATCAACTCAACATTCTATTTACAGCTTTCGGAATAACATACCATAATAATCCACTGTGTACTACAAAATGATAAATAAAAATACCTTGAAGAGCGCGATTTATTGACGGAAAAGGTTATTTAATTTGAAAATGTTTGCATTGCGAAATTCTCCAGTTCGCTATTCATTATACATATCGCGACTAATTAATAATCAAGCACCCTCATACCGATCGGAATGATCGGCTTTTATTATGAACAACTATAAAAGGCTCGAGAAGTTGCTGTCGCCCTTTCACAAAATCTGATTTCATTACATAAAAGGCGCCGCGCTTCGGCGCGGACGCCAACAATTGACAGATTAAGAAATCCACGGAAAAGAACTTATGACAAAACCACGACATATCATGACAACGAAATAAAGTGAATTCACATTAATCATATATATTATTATGTAATGTATAATCCTTACATGTCTGATATTTTAAATGAGGATATCTTAACATGCAGGAGACATAGTTCATTTGCTATGATACTACATGAAATGGACGCAATAGACTGAAGCTCTTATATCTTGTTGCAAGAATAACACCCTGTAAAATGTACTCTTAATATCAATGAAACACATAAAATGCATGTGGCACTGTACTGTACAGTACTGGAAATATGAAGTAATTCAAATTTAGTAGTTAAATACAGGCTTAAATTAGTGATAATAGTAACAAAAAGTAACAAA